ATATTAATAATATAACTTATTTAAATATAAAAATAATCAGTAATTTATCAATTTAAAAAATATACTTTTATATAATCAAAGTACAAAAAACAATGCCACACAGGTTGCAATAAAAGTTTTGGCAAATAGTATTTAACAGCTTCTTTGAAACCATGTCCTGCTGCTCTTAATGCTGCATTAGCTTCTGGTCTTAATAATAAATTTGTTAAAACTTCTTTACTAGCTGAACTATTAATATCTTTTGCGTACCTGGTAGAAAACAAATGTACAATAATGTATTATTTTCTATTGACATATTATATGGCATAACTATCGATAAATAACATACTTTATATATACATCAAACTCGGCAGCTTCAGCCAATTCTTCAAAACATGATCCAACGGTAGGAGTTTGTTTTTCTTCTGTAATTTCCATTATATCTTCTAAACTACCAAGTAATGTAACAGTGACTTCATATATATCCATAATATTACTAAAAAGCGTTTCAAGTTCACTTTTATCTTGTGCAAGCTTGGCAATTTCTTCACGAAATACCTAGATTAAGCAAACTTTGTTATTATTGTACTAATTTTTTACTTATTAAATAATCAAAATTAATTTTGACATTGTTATACCTTTATGATCATGTGAAGATCACGCAAATAATGACGTTCATCGTGTATAAGGTCTCTAACAGATTCTTCGTATGTTTGAGAGACAACTGCACCTAATCCGCTTTGCGGACTTTCTGAACAATCATCTTGAAAAAACATATCCATCAGTACCTGTCGATAACAAAATATTTCTTTATATTTTAATATTATTTAAATTTTTCAATGGTATATTTTTCAAATTTTGAAAATTTAATAATATAATATAAAATAGTTACTAATATAGTATTCTATTATGTACACATATATATTCTATTACCAAAGATAATATTTTACATTAAGTAGTGGTATTGCAAGCAAGTATATGTGTCAAATCTACGAATATTATGTTTAATTTTGTGCAGAATTTATATAAAAAAGAAATGTAAATTGAAACAAAATATATATATTGTATGCATATGTAGAAATAATTCATGCTATTAAGAAAAATGTTTATAAAATTTACCTCAAGTATGTTTATATTATATTTCATGCATACATAATGTATTTTTATTGACCACATTCATTATTATTAAATTATTGTAATCAAATTTATAATGAATTTACAGATTCTATATACATAATATTACTATATAAAAATTACATATTCTATACAATATCGTATCATAATGATTTAATATACTTTCTATGATTACACTTAATACACTTAGTACATTATAAAGTATATAACTTTTATTGATTAAGATATTGAATAAAGATAAAAGAAAATTCTATATAATATAATTTATGAAAATGAAAATAATGAGAACAAATCTACTACCGCATATCAAAAATAAAAAAAGATTATAATATTATTTTGTATAGTTCAATTTCCAAAACAAAAGAAAAAGACAATACGTAAAGCAAATAGAAATTTCTTATAAATTATTCAATACATATAACACTTTCCATATATCTTTTTTTTTTTGCTAAAGGATTGCAGGTACGTACCACCTAGAACAGCATGAGCGAAGAATGAACACCGTTGATTTTGTTATATGTTAGTGGTAAGCATGTAATTAAGCAAAAAAGATATGCAGCCACAATAAATCTGTGACCATTCAATTCTATCCAATAATAAATTTTAGATTTGACAATGCAGCAAAAACTATTTTAATTATTGCTAGTAATAGATGTATTTGGTATAAATTACTTACAGATATTTAAAAAAATCACTTAATTAATAAATAAATTAACAATTTCTGTAACTGCTATTACTAGCAAAATTATGTTTAACTTACTAATGATTTGATTAAATAAATGAAATAAATTAAAAAGGAAGAAATATGAAATTGCCTATAAGTTTCAAGAATAATACGTAAGAGTGAATTAAAAGGCAGGCAATATAATTCAAAGTTATATTCTACTATACTAAGTAGTGAATAAACACATAGCTGTAAGTACAATTTTAATTAAATATGACGTAAAAAAAAAGAAAAAGAAAAAAGGAAAATAAGTACTTTTAAACTATACTGAATTATTTTTAGTATATATATATCTGTTTGCAAGGCTGTGACATTTAAAAAGAAAAAGCGTTGTGCAGAAATAATAAAAATTATGCATACGCGACTTGGTTTTGTTGTAGCAAAATATGTTATGTATGTTAATAAAAAATGTGCATGGACAAAAGGACAATGCAGGCTTAAGTATATATATCTTGAACAAATGATATATTACCATGTCTGCGTACATAGCAACCCTTATATCCTCGCAAGAGATCTCCACATGACGTATATTCTTAACATAATTTCCAGCTAACTGAAAAGAAAAGAATTTGAAGTATCTCAAATACCTATGTGTTATTATTTGAAATGAAAATAATAGTTCGTAATACTAATACTAACCTTTAAAATATCTGCCGATATATATTCCAAAACTCCTACCACAAAAAGACTAACTTGTAAGTCAATTTTGTGCTGCAAGACTTCCTACAAATGTATATTAAAGAACTAATGTGGGTATGAATAAATCTTTTGGTTGTTGACGACTAATGCGTCCATAACGGGTCTATAAACCTATTATTCATATTGCTGCTTACTTTCTGCAGCAGTTGATGAATTTTATCAACAGGAAGAACTAACGGTGACTTCTTTTTTCCTTTCTCTAAGGCATCCTTAGCATCTCGCAATGCCCATCTGTCGATGGGAGTCGGAAATGTTCTTCTTACTCTTTCTTCTACATCTTGTGGTGTGTGCGGAGGTGGATGACCACAAAGCATGCCCAGCATTTTTAATATTAAACTTTCAACATAGTCTAAGGCATCTTGGCGTGCTTCAAGACTAGGATGTACTTGTTCCAATACCTATCAAAATGATAACGACAACATTGACATATGTATGCTTACTGAAGAACATTATTAGAATCTAATATATAGGATATCTTTAATGAAAGGAAAATTAGTCAATAAAATAACAACTTTCACATGTTCATTGAAAAATTTTAAACCATTGATTGTAAAAGTTCTAATTAGAGGTGGGTTTAATATTCTAATTGCATATTTCTAATCTACATCTTTCCTGTTTCTTCCTTCCAATATATTGCAAATAATCTATTGCGTAATTGAAGAATATTCGACGTTAAGTTTGGCTAAGAAATTTGCCAATACATTGACGATTAATAAATTCGATCGAACGCGGAAGAAAGTAGTACGAGCATTTAAACATCGTAGACAGTGAGAAAAAGAGAGCAAGAGAGAGAGAGAGAGAAAGAAAAAAAGAGAAAGAAAGAGAGAAAAAAAGAGAGAGAGAGAGAGAGGGAAAGAAAAAGACAGAGAGGAAGGGTGGCTCGATTGATCGATCGTCGTCGCTCTTGTAAAGATTATCGGAAAGTTTTGGAAATGAGAAACGTATGATGGACAATGTGATCGTTAGTTTTGTCGTGCTTTGATAACGTAACAATGAATTTACCTTTCTAAGGGAATTGACAAACACTCCTTTCCACTTGGCGGCGTTCTCCTCCTTCAGAAAGTCGTAGCCTGACGGCTCGCCCACCACCGACGCCGGCGATGAAAACATTTCACCGTTCTGTTAGGACAGAAACTATCAACGGCATCCGAACTAACAATTACAATCACATAACCACCTTAAAGAACACGCTCCGGAGAGTTCTCCGAATTTATAAAGAACATCGTCAAGAGGCACAAAAACTTGACATAAACGTCTCTGTCTGTCCGTCTGTCCGTTACTCAGGGCGCAGACATCATACCTCTCTTTTTATTCTTCTCTCTCTTTCGTTTACTCACTCTCTCTCTCTCTCTCTCTCTCTCTCTCTCTCTCTCTCTATCTCTCTCTTTCTCTTCTTTCTCTTTCTCTCTATTTCGTTCTCTCTCTTTCTCTGTCTGTCTGTCTCTCTCTTTCTCTCGATTTCGTTCTTTCTCGCTCTCCCTCTCTCTTTTTTTTTCTCGCTTTCTGTGAGTAAACGATGATAGCTAAGCCACTCGATCGTATTTTCGCGCCTCTCCCACGTCCCTCGTACTTTTTATTCGCATAGGAAACATCCCCGAGGCAAACCCGAGAGTCGTCGAGTTCTCACACTCGCGCATCTTTCAGAGCCGAAAATTCGGCCAGAAATTGTCCTTTATTAGATTCCAATGTATACTTGCGGTACCACTAACGTCTCTACCCAAAGCTACTACCATGGCGCGGCGCGACTTGCCACACACGGTAGTTCGATCGATATCGCGATATTAGCGATTTTCTTTAGCGAGACCGGACGAGATATCGAGAGTTATCGAGAGAACTCGAATCGACTTGGTTACTTTGGTTATCCGCATGATGGCGCGTCAGTTCTCGTTAGCGCGATTTCGGAATATTTATATGACGTTTATCGTTAGTTTCGCGTTTATTAATTATTTTTTCTAGTTTAATCACAATAGATAATTAAATAGCTAGAATATTGTTAGAAACAATGAAGATTTATCGACATATTCGCATGCGACGATAATAAACACCACGAAATGTTGGTTGAATAAGGTATGTTTTGTAACTTTTGTAGTCATCTTTGATGTTTATTTTTAGTATATAAACAATGTCGTTTATAATTCTCAGTTTGTTCCACAATCTTTATAGAATCAGTTCGACATTCGTGCTCGTAACGTGAAAATGTTAAAACGATAGAAGGCAAAGAAAAGAAGTAATTGATCGGAGAAAAAATATCAAATTAAATTCGCGCCTATAATATGTCGCCATTTTTTTTCCTGCGAATTTCGAAGCTGTCATTGGGGGGTGAATATACTTGATATCTGGTCATATCTATATTTTGGTAAGTTTTATTTAAATATTTAATGTTCTTATGCAAAGCTTACATATATTTGTTTAATTTTTTAAGATCTTAATTAAGTACAATTGGATTATTATATTTTATATTACATTCATTTTTATCGACATTTCATTTGTATAACACATACATTCGTTTTTACATTTTAATCCTTTTACACAAATTCTTTCTTTGCATTGCTTAACATTATTATTTTATTCTAAATACTGTAAGGGGGGTGTGGGGGTGAGATGCTTATTGGATGAATATTAGTTCGCAGATAATAAATAAATTAGTATAACGCAGTTTTTTTTATATGAAAGTAATATAAAAAAGCGTCCCGTCAATCCTTATCATAAAAGTCCAAAACGTAATACCGCTTGTTAGATAATTATAGATCGTTTAGTACGATTTTATAGAAAACAATATATATCCCTCTAGTTCTCTCGCGTAGTGTCTCTCCTCGATTCTTTTCAATATCCCCTTGTTATAGAATGAGAAATCATCTGTAAGTAGAATTAAAAAATATAATTTAGAGATATGCGTAAAAGTGGCTCAGATATTTATACAATATCATATCATATTTTGTATTATCTATATAAAATTAAATATCTAATAAATGATATGATTTGCCCATTAAACTTAAAAATGTGAAAGACATTATTATGTTTATACATACTTTGTATATACATATAATTAAATTTTTAATGATATAATGAATCTTAATTTTAATGATAAAGGATAAAATGTTAATAGCATAAATCGTTATTGCAACACATTTTCCAGATAATGTCCATAAGAACATGAACTATTTCAGTTAGTAGCCGACAAGAATTTATCAGTGTATACTGATTTGTTTGCATCACGTATTTTAACGTTCATACTACATATTATATCAAATTTACGACATACGTAACTGCGTTCTTATCTCTAAAGCTTACGCTCCTTGAAATTAGGTAGAACATAGGGATTATTAAAATTTAATGTTCGCCTAATAAAATGCATGTGTATTGGTTTTCTTTTTATATCGATTTTCATTTCATTGATATTTCATTCAAATTATTTGATTTCGATTTTTATTAAAATATTATAGAAAATTTATATATACGCGCGCGAACTTTTTATTTTAATATACTTATATTTATTTAAAAAAATATATATATATACATACCTAAGGATTTCATCGTAGGTCGGTTTGTTTATACGTCGATCGATCTTTCGTGTATCGGTTCGATTTTCATTGTTCTTTCGTTTACGTCGTTCTCTGCAATAAATTGCAAATAAATGATTTTCTAAAGATTCTAAGATATTTCTATAAATTAAATTTTTATGTAAAGATGACTTACATGTTTATCGGTTTCATTCTGATGTAAATAGGTCGGTCCGTCAACGGTAGGGAATTTATTCTTTGAATGCTATAAAGTGTTTCGAGTTCTGCCAATCTTTGATCGGAAACGCGTTTCAGACGTCTGAAATTGTCAATGAAATTTAAAAAATAAAAAAGATATTTCTTTTTGTTTTCTTTTATATTAATTAAATTTCAATTTTAAGATTTTTTGTGACATAATATCACACACACACATACGAGTATAAATTTAAAATGATTAAAATAATATAATACTTAGATATAGAAAAATTCTACTCACTTCCACGGTAAATTCGATAATTTATTTTCCGTATTGGATAGGGATATTTCGATATTCAAGTCCTTTTCATCCACCCCCGCGAGTCTAATGAGAAATGCGAAGAAAAATAATGTTAGTTAATGAAGCCGTCTCCTTATGGCTTTAATGAATTTCAATTAAATATTCACGAGGAACAAAAACGAGATATCATTCTATCATAATATAACATTCTGATGTAACTTTTGCAACTTTTGTGTAATAAACTTGATCCAAGTCAATACGCGCACCTACTTTTTAAAAATAGATTTCATTTAAAAACAAGAAAAACTACGTTAGTTACACAAAATATAAATACTTCTATTTATAAATCTTTTTTATCCTGAATTTTTGTATAACGATTATTGTAAGTATTTTTAAAAAGGGGGTTGTAACCAAAAGAAAAAGACATATGGAAAATTACGATTATAAATTAACAAAATATCTACCTGATTGGCTGACTGTTAGCAGAACCGAAGAGGACCAACGATAAAATAAAAATGATGATTTTGATAGAAATCATCGTGCTTTCTTTTTTTTATCTTCGATAAGATCAAAATATATACATAAGAAAGAAAAATCAAAATCTTATAATTTTAATCTCTTAAGTTTAAGTTAACACCACGATGCTCAAAGCTCAACCGATTTCGTCTTGAGTTAAACTATAACATAAAGCGGACATCCTCGGACGTGTGTATATATCGTTCTAAATCCCCTCCACTAAGTCTAATTACTGACGATTACCCTATACTCTCTTTTTTATCACTTACACATATATTCCATTTCTTGTCAAAGACGCGTGCCTCTTCCCTCTCTTTCTCTCTCTCTCTCCCTCCCTCTCTCCCTCTCTCTCTCTCTCTCTCTCTCTCTCTCTCTCTCTCTCTTTTCTTTTACTCTGTGTTTTTATGTATGTGTATATGTGTACGTAATGTAAGATAAATCGATCCTCTTGAGCAGATTTGCTGCTTTTTTGCGGTTTATCGCCGTAAATGATTTTATAGTTAAGGTATTCGTTAAATTGATCTTTCATTTATCGTAAAATTACTTAAAAATAATTTTAGTTCAAATAAAAATAAATTGCAAATCGATATTTTATCGAATCCTTTGGTTTATACGATATAGCCATATTGATTCTTGCTAAGAAAATCACGATCAATAATGAATATATATATGTAAACTTATTTGTATACACATACAAAATAATACCTTAATGACGTATTTTTTTGAAAAGAGGGCGTGGTAGATATGTAAAAATTTCACAATGGGTAAATAACGAAATTCGTTGTTTTACTACGATAAAAACCTGCGCAATATCAAATAAACCGAAAAATCTTTCATTTGATAGCAACAAACATGATGCTCGTCAAACGGAAATGTAAGATTGTGTAAGGGGAGTGGTCCATCAAGATGTATACATATAAATATACACATATATACGTTCAAATGAGAGGGAGAGAGGGAGAGAGCTTACTGCGCAGTTTATAATTGCGAAATGTAGATCAACCACGCGATTCGTTTCTCTCTCGATCATTTTATATCATCGTCCTCTTACTATTAGACTGCTTGACTTCGTATCGATGTTTTTTTAATGGTCACCACGTAGTAAGAATTTCACCGAAGAATTATTTAAAATCGTTTAAAAAATTATTTAATTTTTTTCTCAATAACTATCATGAATAAAGAATAATTTTGTTTCTTTTATAATATATAGAAGAAAAAAAAAAATTCAGTTCGTTTCGTCGAGAACGTCTGATTCTTATTCCGTTTCCATTTCTCATTGACTCGCAAGTAGTTCAAAGCAGTTTTAGTCAGACAGGATCTATTAACTCTCTCTCTTTCTTTTACTCTTTGTTTCATTCTTTTTTTTCTTTTTCTCCTTCTTTCTCGCACGCGTTATATGGCGCCTTAACTTCCAAGACTTTTAATTGTTTCATATCAATATGTTCATTCTTAAAAGAAACCCTTTTTTATTTTACATATCTTTTTTTACGCTGATTGATAAAATGTAATCGTTTGAAGTAATGACCTTGTTTATGAATTATAAGTTAATGAATAATTTCACCTTAGAGATGAACTTTTATATTTTGTGTATATATAAACATTTAGATATTAATCTTGAAAAATTTCATTAATCAAATATTTTTTCGTATCCATATATATTATATAGATATTTTATCATTTAATTCATTACAAACAAACCAAAAATAAAGGTAATATTTAATTAAAGTAAAAAACATGAATTTCGTTTTTATCGATTAAGAAATGTTGTTTTTTAATAACGTTCATAGAGGGAGCTTAAAGGTATATTTTTAATTTCGGCAGTTAAATTAAGGCATGTGTAAACAATGTTGTATATGGCTCTTTTTTTTTTTTTAAAGGATTATTCGAAATAAAAGAAGATTGATTATGCATAGACACAATTTATATTTTTATTCTTACTCTCTCGTGAAGTATGAAGAAAGAATACAATAAATTAATTCATTATTAATTAATATAACATAATATATATTAATCACTGTAACGCATAGTTTAAATCCATGGGAACATTGCGTGCAGATCGTTTTATATAATAATAAATAAATAAATAAATAAATAAATAAATAAAATAAATAAATATTTATATACACATACGTATATATATATATATATATAAATATATTTGTTTCTAAATAAATAATACGCACCGATAAAAAAGAAATGGGGGAGCGTAATATCGAATAAGTTCGATAGAATACATTTGAAATATTTCGGACGATTCTTTGAAGAGAACTCCTAAAACAATCAGCCTTTGAACACACGCACACACATTTAATACGTTAATACGTACATTTATATTATTCATCTATATATACTATATAATAAGAGCTAATTAAAAATAATTTTCTTATGATAATAAGAATGAATTAAGTGTATAAGTAAGTAACTAAATAAGTACATATATTGAGATAAAACGATAGAAATATCGATAATACTCGTAAAATGCGCACGCTAGCGCTAGAATGTAATTTTAAATTATTTTATCTTTATGAATGAGAGCGCAATAAATTTTAATCAATGATGACGTTAATATAAGAGCTCACATGAAGGTGATTTATAAATACATAAATAAATGCAGAGACATAAGTAAAGGAATGTGAATTAAATTATTTATAGAAAAATGAATGATATTTTTTTTATCTCCCTTACATTGTTTGTTTGTACTTGCATAATGACATTTTATTACGACATTTTACTCGTATAATGTTTTAAAAATCACGTAAGATTTCTTAAAATGAAGTTAAATGACAGATAATACAATTTTTCATTCACTCTCTCATTCCTTTTTTTCTTTTTCATTCTCTTATTTTTCTTTTCTTTTTCCTCCATCTTTTTTTTCAGATCTTTCATCGTTCACGTGATTATCACTCCTCATGTCATTATGCCGTCGTATAATACGTGAATACATATTTTAATGATGCACGCTTTATGCATCACCGAGATCGTTTGAGATTGCGGTGAATCGACTATGAAAATATAATAAATGATTATTTTTTTTGTATGTCGATTAACGTTAAGAGTAATTAAATAAATAAAATAAATAAGTTAGAAAAAAATTGATGACATAAAATGAACAAAATGAAAAAAAAAAGATGAGATAAGAAATAAATTAAATACATGTATACATATATATATGTATATACATAAGCGAACGCATTGAATACTGTTCTCGTTAAGATGTCGAATACTTAAAAAGAAAGAGCATAATTTTAAATGTTACGATTGTTTCAGGTTTTCTCATTTCTTCTTTATCATCTTCTTCTTATTTTTTCATTCATCAAATTATTCATCAATGAAGATTCTTCATTTTCTCGCTCTGCGTAATTTTAATTATCGCCTTACCCCTTCTCCATTTCTCATATTAACTATTAACTACAATCTACGAATCACGATAGGATATTATTAACATTTGTCGTGCTCGTCGTTAATTATTTATCATTTAAATTCATCAAAGAGTTCAGTGCATCAAACTCGGACGGAGAACGGTCCGTAATACTGATTTAGGCGTTTCACGATCGAGTTGTTTTATTATTTCTTTCGGTTTTTTTCTCTTTTTCTTTCTTCCTTCCTTCCTTCCTACCTTCCTTCTTCCTACCTCTTCTCTTCTTCTTCTTCTTATTTTTCTATTTTATTACACTCGATTGCTTCGATTTTCTTCTCGTCTTCAGTCGATATTGCAACATCCAATTAGACTAATATTGTCTCTCGATTTCTAGATGATTGTTTGCATCTTTCTATAAATAAAAACGTTTAATGAACGCTCGTTCGTTCGTTGATTCATTCAAATTGATTATGTTTTGATTTCGAAAACGATTTTATGACTACATTTTCTTTTTCATTAATACAAAAAGTACAATTTTTATCTTCCGTTTGTTTTTACTGTCGTCTGATAAGCCGTTAATGAATTACAAAAAAAAATTAAAGAAAAAGAAAAATCAGAATATTTCCATAATACATTTACGTATATATTTCCGGGATGATGTATATCATTTATTGGAAAAATCTTGCATCATTCTTGTAACGCAAAACGCAAATTGGATTTTATAACTTACGGGAACAAAGTTCATCAAGTTTCTTGGCGCGTGCCGATCATTTTTTTAATTTAGATTTTTACTATTTGTTCTTTTTTTAATATTTAGCATATTAATTATCGCTTGATTACGTATGCAATATTGAAGTTAACTCGTAGTTTCATATGTGAATGAGAAATTAAACGATCCGTTTTCTCTCGATAATTTTTATAAGACAATAATTTTTATAAGATCTTTTAAACAAGATCGATTTTTTTTCTTTTATTTATTTGATCAGTATTTTTATTAATCTGTGATAAACGCATTTTATTGTATAAGTAATTAATTTTATCGATGCAATAATATTGCTTATATAGTTGATTCTAATTTCCTAAATATTTTAATTATAATATTATAATAGATTTTTTTTCCTTTTCTTTATTAATTCGGTTAATACCGATCATACTGTTATTTTATTTCAAATATTGAATAAAAATATTGAAAAATACTGATCCAATGAATACAAGTAACTTCTTTTTTTTTTTTCTAAATTTCTTCAAATAAATCTCAAGAATAACATTGAACGCGTGGGTGGTAGAAGATGGTATGAGAAAAGTACTATTTTGAAAGTGGTAAAACTTACCAATGGCAGAGACAGAATCTCGTTATTCTCTTCCGGTAGGAAAATCGAATCTTGTCTGTCAATTTGCAATATTTCTCTCAATTTGTTGAAACTGTCGTCCGATGAAGATCTTCGCTTGCGACCTCTTCAAATAGAACAAAAAAAGAAACAACACGATAATTAATTGAGTTCGTGAGTCCTTTGAAAATTATCTTATTATTACGAAGAAAAAAAAAAGACAAAAAAAAAAAAGAAATTAATAAAACAATATTCGAGAGTCCCATTTTTCTTTAACACGCATCACATCGAATTATATGATCGCGTAATATAATTTATCACTTAATTAATCTATATGTGTACATTATTTCTCTAATACGCGTAAGGAAAAAGAGGAAACTAAAAAGAGATAGAGAGAGAGAGAGAGAGAGAAAGATTAATTAACGATTAATTAACGATAAAACGATGCGAACGGTACCTTTTTTCTTTTTATTTTTAAAGCGATGAGGAATGCAGACAATACAAAGTCACTTGATCGATTTAATAATCTAAATAAATCGACATTACTTATTGTCAGATGTTTTCAATTGATATCTATAATAATATCGATAAGCATCGAAAATATATGGCGACGTAAGTAAATACACGTACGAAATTAATGGATATTAGTCCAACGTGCTTTTCGACATGAATACTAACGTCATGGTATCGTAAGAAGGAGAAAAAATTAAACGAAAAAAAAAAAAAAAAAGTGAGAGAGAACGAAAGAGATCACGCGTGGTTCTCATGTCGAAATGAAGAAGACGATGACGTGTCCAACGAATGAAATCGTCCCAGTCATGCAATCATTAGGAGTTTCTAAATTTGAATTATTCGATTCAATTTGCATCACTTTTACAATACTAAATTTTCCGATAAACTTATCTGCTTTTTATTAAAATCTATTAAAAAAAAAAATTTTTATTATTTACTATAACATTTTTTAGATATATAGTCATTTTTGTTCCTTTTTTTATTTATAATACAAAAAAAATAGAAAGGGCCTAATCGTTCTCATTTTAAGTTTAAAGGAGAAATATATTGTTCACGTGATAATATATATAATATGATGCAACATATGAATTTTATACGTCATATTTGGAAATTTTTTATTAAAGTGGTTAGTGATCGATTAGTTAGAACCTTTGATTATATTTAATATATATATGTATACATATCTATACATATATGTATATATATTTATTTTATGACTTATGGTATAATTATAGATATTATCGAGAATCGTTGAGGTAACATCTGCTTATCTAGTCGATTCACTGTTAACAAAATAAATAGAAAACTTATGAGAACATAGGATACTTTGTTACATCATCATTGTTAACATATTACGTATGATATGGTAGACATGTTATGATACGTCATTCTCTTACATATGCGCCTTTTATATTATTGTAAATCCCCTCTTATATCTTTAATATCTTACGTGAGTAATATTATCAGGAAACACGATAATTAACGGAAATGGATGAATTCAATTCGCGAAAGGGAAAAATGATATCAATCTTATATTATGAAGACATGAAAAATTCTTCATATCTATTGAAAGCCTTACGTTTTTAAGTTTTAATCGATCGACATTATTCAGTCTAACATTTATTGGCTCAATATTTATATTCAAAAATATTCATTCATAATTAATTATCATTTATATATCGAGACACAAAAAACAAAGTAGAATTTATTTTACAAAATATTGATCGAATAATTATTATAGAAGTTGAGCGGTTTTTTCTTTTTTTTATTAGATCGTTGACTACGACATTAATGTCAAACGAACGTATTACTTCAAATGGAAAATATAAATACACATATATGTAAATATATAGATCATGAAGGGAATCGTATTTCTTCGATTCCAGTATGAGTTAAGAGGAAGTAGTTGCTAGACATTTCATACTGATGAAAAATGCAATATAATATACTATGGGGGGGCTAGATCGAGGAGAATCGTAAATATCGCCAATTGAATGTAAAAATCAAAAATAGAAAAGAAGAATAGAAAGAAGAAGATGAAGAAGAAGAAAAAATGTATAATACAATCCCACATGCACTATATTTTATTTCATTCTGACACAATCAAAATAATTTCATTATGAAATAGCGATATTCAAGCGTTTTTTATATTGGAAAAAGAATACCAACATGTGATTGGATAAGCAAATTCATTTTTTTTACCGCTTTCTTTCTCTATTTTGATTTATTTCTTTTTTGTGAATACATACAATGAGATATATAGGTGTTGAATAAAAATACTTTTAGAGAGTATTTGAAGAAAAGGAACATAACTCTGTTATATACTCCATTATCAATACTTGCATTTTCTTTACTCTTTTTACTATCTCGCTCTTATCTTCTCTTCTTCTCCTTCTCCCTTACCTTTCTCTCTTATTATCTTTATTTATCTCTCTATTTTATTTTTTTTTCCCTTGCACAAATTCCCTGTTGACATACATTACACGTAGACTCGCATTACCAGTTCGTTAAATACTTCATTTCAAGGCTCGTGTTGTCTCTTCGACGTCTTAGAATGTCATTTAGTTGGCAGGAAACTAATTCTCATTATCCTTCCATGTAACTTAACTCCTAGCTAACCTCGTATCGTTAATTTTCTTCCTTCGCGTTAATCCCTTATATGTTCGTGTTATAATTTTACAATGGTGAAGTAAAGAAAATAGAAGAAGAAGAAGAAGAAAAATAAGAAGAGGAATAACAAGAGGAAATATAAAAGAAAGTAAGAAGATCTTCTATACGATATTCTAGGTAATGTATTCAATAATTAAGGTTGTGGGAGGTTGTAATGTATACGATATTGTTGTCCTTGTTCGATATGAAAAAATAACGAAAGAAAAAAAAAGAGTAAGAGGACAAAAAATGTGTTGCCTTCGTATGAACGTTAACGTGAAAATAAGAAAGAAGGAGATGGGAGATCGTCTTTTCTGATTGCGTGGGATACCCGCCCATTGGCTTTTCCTCTACTACGATATTGTCCTCCTTTACTTTATATTTCATTGACAATCTCACAGGACACGTACCGACCGCAGGATCAACGGTAATCCTAAGAACGTATAATAGTTTGCTAATCTTCCAACGACGACGTATATTACTATTGAGGTTGAGCTCTTGCTAAAAACCATGCGTAGATAAGATCCTTCCATTCCACAAGTGAAATCACGTTTTACGCATCAACGAAATAAATATTGTTTCTTATATCCTAAGAGTTACCTTTTTTAACAAGAAGAAAAGAAAGATTTCGAAGCCTTCATAACGTCACGTGTAACTTTGTAGTCATTCATTTCAGGACTTTTATTTCTATATTTTTATGAAAAAAAAAGTCGTTTAGTTCTTATATAAGAAATTTGTAATTTTTCTTTATGTATTCTAATATTCAATTGTAAAAAAAAAATAAGACTTTTTTGTTAGAGATCGATTATTTGACCGGTTACGATTTAAATAAATAGAATATTATATTTTTTGATTGATTTATAGAAGGTTGAGAAAAGATGAAAAATTTGACGTTTAGCAATTTTTTATCTGAACATTTTGATAGATGAATATAGCGATCATTTATCTGGTTAAACATATATACGAAGAATACTACGTATGTAATTGGTTAAAAAGATAAACAATTATTCAAGGTTTCCACGGAATAACAACGGTGTAGAATTGCAATTGAGATGCATTCGTGACGATGACAAGCCTTTCCACGGTCGATGCACGCGAGACGTCATAACGATGACAAGGCGACGATAAATATTGAGATAATTCCTCTATTAGAACATTTAGAGTGGGGGCAAACAGACATGATCATGCAACTTGAAGTAATTCTCAGAAGAACGAATTCAATTTTTTCTTTTGAACGTGACTCGATCAAAATCGTTTTCAAAATATAGATATAAATATAATGTGTATGTATAATAATGCATCTTGTTGTTATAATAGATACATATTTATATAGTTATATATTTTCTTCTCTCATGTTAAATCGAAGAAATTTTTCTCGATGCAAGTGGAAAAGTAACGTCTCTTTGTCATGGAAAACTCGTCGAATCTAACAATAAGAACACTCTGAATCAGATCTTGAATAACCTTATGCAGTATCTATTCGTCTTACTCTCTTTGTCGTGTTTTTAAAAAGGGCTTCTCGAATAAAATGTTATGTTGTATACGCGTTATGTCTATATATATATATATATATATATATATATATATTACGTGTCAGTAATTATAATAGTTAATAAAGTACCAAAATTGACAAAATTCATTTTACAATTTATTTTATATTATAATTATTATTATAAACTCAAGTATCATAATTACCATCTCACGTATAATATAATATATATATATATATATATAATATTACATAATAATAAAAGAAAAATGTAACAAATAAAAAAACTTACACTTTAGCAGGATCTATAACGCCATATGCAACAGGTACGAATATCACCTTGCCCTTGATTTTCGTTGATAACCCAAGTAAAGTTTCCAATTCGGCGATCCTTTGATCTGAGACTCTCTTGCGTCTGCTGTAATCGAAAGAAAAGATAAAAAATAAGATTTTATCTAATTTCCTTAGATGGCACACACAATTCTATCTGCTTTACTCTTTTACAAGTTGGGTAATGTTAATTACTCATATCGTATATATCGTTAATTATATTTCATCTTATTGTAAAGACCTCGAGCATTTTTCTTTTTATACGTCGATTTGAACCGCTTTCACCACGACTTAAAAAACAATTTGTGTTATAGAAATCATCGTGAGAAAACGTTTCAGACTAATTTCAAAAGTCGGACGATCTTTTCACATATATATATATATATATATATACGTATATTCGTATATCCCAAGGTTCTTTCAAGTTGTCTATGTACGGAATTAACACATACCTATTTTACCTTTCTCGACAATTTTCATGCCGTTTCGCAAGTGGTCATTGACGTATGTAAATAAGTAAGCATATAACTTTAATACTTATTTCAACCTGTCGTGTTGCATTTGTCGTAAAAACTACATTCTATTTGCATAAACGATCTATGGCAACGACCGCTACTCTGCTTTGCTAAATAAACCGTAAATGAACCGTCGTTTAAACGTTCATTGAAACACGTTAAATGAAATTCATCTTCTATTTAACGAACAGAGCAATGACTTTATTTATGAATAACCCGAGACGTTCTAATTATTATTCATTCGTGACAGTTTCACGTTAGAGATAAATTTCATTTTTTTAAATATAAAGTAATAGGAAAATTTGTATTTTTATAAAAATTCCTACGCGCACGGTTAACGTTTTCTCTTCGTTTAAAAAATTATTTCGTTTTAATCAGAAATATATTTGATTCCCCATAAAAAAAACAAAAAAAAGAACGCACGACTAATCGTCAGTATCATTTAAGTATAAGTTTTGAAAAGAAAAGAAAAATAAATGATTATCCTCTATCTCTTGATGATATATTATATAAGAATAATTTAAAAATTAATAACAAAAAATTTGCATGAAAAAAGTATGTTCGTTAGATGCTTACCTGATTACGGTATCGGTAGGTCTGGCATCGGTTGGTTCTGGTATCAAAATCGTCACGAGTACGCTGAGCACCAGAAGAGTCACCAATGGACGCGATGTAATACACATTTCGTACTTTGTCATATTTTCTTTATTTTTTGTTTTTTTTTAAATAAAACACTCGAACTTATGTTCAAAAAGAGAACAACTTTATTTTGCACCACGCGAAAGTAAAAAACGAGAAAGAATATTAATTCCTTTTCACAATTCTTTTTTATTTGTTTTTTTTTTCCTTTCACGACAATTAATAGTCGATAGAAGAACCAACAATAACGAAAGAACAACAAAAATTGTATTTAAAAATAAAAGGATAAATGATAGGTAGTATCGTAATCCTTAAATGTGAACGTTTGTATCCTTTTGTCAGTAACGCGACTGTTATGCCCCTCCTTCTCTTTGCTGCTTTTGTCTAGTTGAACTGTAGCATACCGTCACTCGGTTCGGGCATATATACTCGAAGCAGAGTTAACGCCCCCTCCTTCCCCTTTCGACAGTGGCATCCCCCACTCGCTTCAACTCGAGATCCTCCCTCACCTTTATCCTACCATACTAGACTTGAAACCCCCTTTTTGTATTTTTTTTTTTTCTTTCCATTTCCTTCAACGATTCCGTCATCTTTCCCATGAAATTTCAATTATCAACAACCTACTCCAGTAACTTTCTGTTTTTCGTTAATATGTTTTTTGTTCTTTTTCTTTTTTAGAAGTTCGACATATGTTATTTGCACGTATACCACGATCGGTTTGAAATTTGAATTTTACTTTGTCAATATATTATTGCTTTATTTTTTTGTCATTTGATCTCTTACAAATATAATTATAAATATTATTTTATTTATTATATTTATAAGCTAGTAATTATTTATCGATTTAATCGAAAGAATTAATAATCCATTTTCAAATGAAGTATTAATGATCGTATCCGTTAATATAATTTTAAATGGGAAATATGCAATAAGATGTAATCGTGATAAGTTACGAATAAAAAAATATAATGGATTTTTAATTATCATTCTAATCGTGCACGTTATGAAAAACAAGGACGTCGGTGTTTGTTTAAATAAAAAAAAAACACCGTTGTTTCCTTCATATACAATTTTTCCCCCATACTGTTATTTTTCTCGAATGCCTTTGGTTTGCGTCAAAAATGCATCGATGACGAATGTAATTATAAATAAGATTAATTGTTCACATTATTTAATCTAGACATCACGTTTTTCCAACGTGGATTTCTTCTTCTAGTATTATCTCGAGAGTCTGTTTCTACGTATTCACGGGTTTCATTTGTGAGTGGAAAGTGTTTTTTTTGTTCTTAGAACATGTTCAATGACGTAGATGCGAAAGGATTTTTCATGTAGACATATGTTTTATTTGCACAAGCAGTCATGCGCTACTTATATTAGTTAATGTGCAACATTTGATCCTCTTACAACGTCCCCCTCTCCAACTGAGACCCCTCCCCTTCAGCCCTTATCGCTGATAAATTAAGTTATACATTATTTTCTACTCTTGTTAATCAGTTTCCAAGTTGTTAATTTGACGAAATCACTTGATCAAGACACGATTACGTTTCCATTTCTGTATATTCCCAATGGAAACGTTCAATACGGATTGATTGCTGATTCATTCAAATTAAAATACAGGATGAAACATTAAACAATATGTACTTATATCAATACGTATATAAATGTGTGCTCATCTACCAAGCGGATATTTATCTTTTATAGATTGGCCAATATATTTACCTGATATCTTCCAATAAATGATACCTACAGTTGCACAACAATTAGTCATTAAGTGGTCACACACATTTTTTCACGATAAAACTCAACGAATTACTTTAATTGAATGTGAAATTTGAAGAATTAGGATAAGTGCTCTTAATATTACCTAATTTATAATATGGCAAATAATATTTAGAAGAAATAAACCCGTTGACTGTAACGGGCAAATATTTATAAAGAAAATTGAATATGAAGAATTGGAACAAAATATTTGTAAATAAATCTTTTTATATTTGATTGACAACGTCTCATTCTAGCAATGTTTTGATTAGGTCATGTAACATTTAAAAAAGTGTTGACAGAAGTGAACGAATAATTATATTATAAATATAATCATATAATCTAATATAAATTGAATTGTGTCAGATATCGGATTAAAATTTTTATAAATAAATATATTTATTTTATATTGATTTAAGGAGACGTAATGTTATCAATTTTCATACAATTTACAAAAGTAGGTGAACTTATTTAATTTTTTATAGAATTAGATATTATATCGAGTAAGTTTAAATTATTTAAAATTAACCATAGGTAATATTAATTACGCTTACTTTACTCAAATACTTTAGATTGATATTTTATTAGATTTTGAAAATTCAAGTTTCATCATCTTACTTTCGAATTACATTTCACGGCAAATACGTGGATTTGAGGAATTTTTTCGACGAATCGATTTGGGTAGCGTTTACTTTCACAGAATGAAAGGTCGCTAACGAACGAAAGAATGTTGAACCGTTTTTTTAGTCATTCCTTTGCGTTCGATCGACGTCAAAAAAAATTATTGTATCGGGTTGTCTGGAAAGTTAATGCCGATTTTTGATACGTAGGTGGCATAAAGACAAGTCTGTATATAAAGATTGTGTTAATCTTCCGTTCAAATCTGTACGAACTTTCCGGACAATCTAATATTAAGATGACGCATAAAAGCTTATTATAACCGATCAATAAATACTGTTTTTCTAATATGTAATCTATATTGCATTATTTTATGAAATCTTATGAATTAATTGCAAACTCATTTTCTATGATACTATCTATGTTTTCGATACTATATTACGTTTACTGTATCCGATTGAGCATCTTCTTTATTTAGCAACTATCTATTATATTTACCCACACGATAAGAATGAATCTCGATGTAATGCTTTGATTTTCAATTTCATATAATCATCTCAACGGAAATTTAAATAAACGCGTTTATTAAATTTTCAATGAAAAATTTTCACATAGATATTATCTATGTTAGATAATACATTTCCTTTTTTTTTTTTTTTAATTTATTTTTAATTTTGTTTCGAATCCTTCTCAAACATATAATTTCCGGTTTCGTGTAATCGATATCGCATTTTTACCTCTTTGCATTTTTATATCTGTTATTTTATATCTATATTATTTTAACTATACATACACACTCTCATACACACGCACTATCGTTAGGGACACGATGTTCATGTCAAGTATACTTTAAATAATCGCATATGTTCGCGAACTGTTTCGAACAAGCCAATACCTGGAATTTGAAAATAAGAAAAATGTTTAGATTTTTCCTTATCTTTTATTAAAAGAGGTTATCAAATGGTCATGAATATTCGTCAAATTAAAATTTCATATATAAGCCGATAATTGCGACGACTATATGTGGGCTATGCGAACAAATTTATCTTAGGATTTATTCGCGATAAGCGTGTAACTTATTAAACGTTACGTATGTAACTCTTTATTGAAAAAAAAAAAAAAAAAAAAAAAAAAAAAAAAAAAAAAAAATATACAACGTGTTAATAAATCTGTTAAATATAATTTCTTTTTATCATTTATTTTATATACATTACGATTATTTTTATAAGATCGATTATTCCAATTGTTTTATTTGTTATTTAATCCGCTGTCA